GTGTGTGTGTGTGTGTGTGTGTGTGTGTGTGTGTGTGTGTGTGTGTGTGTGTGTGTGTGCACTGCTCACCACACGATTGCTGGACGCCGGCTGAGCTGCACGGCAGGGCCTCACTTTACAGAGTCGAGTCTCCATTTGCAGCTTGCAGGCAGGATTCTGGTTGGAGACCCGCGTGGAGACTCCAGCACCACAGCTCTGGGAGCAGGCGCTCCACTGTGTGCTCTGCTCCACACAGCTGGAGGGAGACGGGACCAGTTTGTTCAGAGGATGATCCCGTGGCAGAGCGGGCCACAACCTGTCGGGCCTCCTGGCTGCAACCAGATTTAAAAAAAACAAGTACTGAGAGGAGCCTGATAGGAGAGACAGATACTTGTGTTAAGAACTACTCAAGTAAAAGTAAAAATACTGATTTTACTCAAGTTATAGTATGAAGGTAAAAAGTTCCCCCCAAAAGGTCATTTCTAAAACTGTGTCCGTGCAAAGCAAACTGAGACTCATGTCACACTAAAAGTAGGAAAACTATTTAACTTAAACCATTGTTACTTCAAATAAAATTAAAAAACAATAAACTATAAAACATCTTTATGTTCAGGGTGAACGGGCCAGAGGGGCAGTACACACATTTATTCAAGATGAGGTTGATAGAAGTAGGTGCTGCACTTCTGTGCTCCAGTAAATATCTTCCAGTAACTCTAATGTCTCATGTGAAAACTTCCACTCTAATAATGCTCTGGATATTTGTGAATATAAAAAATCCACAACACATTTTCCTTCTTCCCAAAACAAACATGTAAAAGTCACAATAATCAGCTGATTCATGACAGGACTCGTATTCAAGAACAAAATGTTCCTTTGCTGTTCTCATAATATAGTTTGACTCAGTGTTTGGAATTCCAGATGTTTTATAAGAGCGGCTTAATTTCCCTAACACACACACACACACCCCCCTCTTCAAATGAAGTCATGTAGCCTCCACTTAGCTTCATGTGCTTAATTGTCTCACAGCTGCGGTCGCTTGTTGTTATAGGAAACTGGAGAAAAAATATGTTTTGACTTTTCCAAAGAAATCTGTGTTATATTTGGACGTTGGGAGTTTTCCTCAGCCCGGTCGCGCCCTGGTTTAATGCAGAAATGCTCCAGTAAAAACTTCCAGACATGACCACCAGTGACAAAGCTCATGGGGATGAAGGAGGGATCGCTCGGCCATGTGGACCGATCGTCGTCACCGAGCAACAACTGAAGCGGAGGGAGTCGCAGGGTGTGCGGAGACGTTTCTGGCAAAGACGCTGGAAAATATGTGGAAACACCTCGTGCATCAGAATACAACTACTCAATATAAAGAATAGTTCAACGCAGCTTTTCTCACTGAGACAAGATCAATAAAAGGTCAAATACAGGAGAGCTGCACACTTCCTGTTGTTGCCGTTGATTCAAAACAGGCTGCGTTTCGTCTCGAGGGCGCTGGCGAGGAAGCAAACGGCTAAAATAATTATTTACACCTGCTTCAAAACAAAACACCACATTGTAGAAAATGTTCTAACCTCTTAAAGAACGATATCATTGTTACTTTGCCACATGCACATCAGTCTTTGTTTTCTGGTTTTCATGGGTTCTTTCACTTCTGGACCAACTCGTGAGCGCCCCCTACCCAACCCGGGAAGTTGTGAGAGCGGAAGTTCTCCCTAGAAATTCTGTGGGTGAAGTTACACGTGTATTAAAACATGTGTTTACCTGTGATAGCGTCCTGAATGACCGTGTTCTCCAGGTTCTCACACACCCATTCTTTGCAGCATTTCCCCGGCAGGTGGACGAATTGTGGCTCGGGACAGTCCGGAGTGGGAAGACGGCCGGTCAAGGGACAAGCCGGCACACAGGTCACACCTCCACCCCTGCAGTAGCAGTACGAGTGGCAGGAGGGCTGGAACGACTGGCCGTCCTGGTACGTGATGCCGTTCACCTCACAGCTCAGATCCTCCGGACCTGAGGGAAACACAGAACCGAGGTTTGAAGTGGGAACAGGAAGTGAATGAATGAAGTCAGGGGAGGAGAGAGTGGAGGGAGGTGGGTGGATGGATGGATGCAGGGGGGACACGGCAGAGGAAAGTGAGGACACAGTGACTGCCGTCCCTGCCAATGGTTATATGTAGTTATATGGGAAACCAGGCCTCTCTACTGGGAGACTGTGAATCTGTTTTTCAATGCACGAGTGATGTCCCTGCAGTTTATCCCGTTCACAGACCGGTCATTAGAGGGAAGTGTCAACAACAGCCCTGGAATTAGAGGCTGAGATGTTTCGAGCTCTGGCAGAGCACCGCCGCCCATCAGGCCGTCCTGCTCAGCTGAGCAGACTCTAAACATTTACTGTGTTTGTCCCGCTCACGCAGAGCGGCTGAACATCTTCCACCCCCTCCCTGTACGTCCTCTCCTCCATCTCACCCACAGGAGACACTCACCGACACACTCCCCGGGGTCGCCGGGGAAGCTGGCGCTGTAGTCGCACCGCAGGCCTCGCCGGCCGTCGCAGGGGAACACCTCGGTGCAGGACTGTCCTCGCTGCCTGGCACACACCTGGCAGCACCGGCAGCCGTCCAGCACCAGGGCCACTCCTGCCGGGCACTGCGGGGGAGGACTGGGGCAAAGGCAGGGCCGGTCACACAGCTGGGACAACACCTGCAGGGACAAATAACTAAAACCTCAGTCCTCAAGTATCAGGAACTAATTGATCTCATTATTTTCACAGCGGAAAAAGAAAAGAGTTATAGTTTTATTTGAAACTGAACGTCTGTATCCATCACTGCCAACGACATGTTTCTGATGGAGCCAAAACGGGCACAAAGTCAAAAGTTCGAGTTCATGAAGTAGCCAAAGTTAATCATTACAAGAACATGACACGCTGGTCATGTGAGAAACATTCAGACATCCGGTGTCACAACAGTTGTGTCTCGGCACCGGGTGAATAAATGATCACATCAAGACTCTGCTGCAGTCTTCTCCTGCACATTTCAAAATGTATCCGGCAGAACAATAAGGTGCAGGCAAAAAACGAAATCACGCTTCCTCTAAAACACACAACCACACACAACCACAACCACACACAACCACACACAAAGTGGTGTCTTCGTGACTTCAGACGACGTTACACTGACGTGCATTCATTTCCTGCACACACAGTCTAACATCAACCATAGTTATTACTAACCTAACCGATAACCTCGACCTAGATTTAAAACATGTCTTCACATTATTCAAAGGAAGACAAGTCCCCAGAATGTGACAAATATAAACAGACACCTGGACCACACTCCCCCACACACACACACACACACACACACACACACACACACTCCGTGACTTCAGAGGACATTACTCCAACAAACCTAAAAAAAACTTCAAACACGTCCTCATCTTAAAATTCAATGATTTGCATTATGGAAATTAGCTTTTTATCCCCATGAGGAAGACAAGTCTCCATAATGTGACAAATATAAACAGAATGAAAAGACTGGACACACACACACACACACACACACACACAGATAATCACTCAGAGGTAACTATAAGCCGGAGCAGGCCTCACCTGTGTCGCCACACTCAGCAGCACAGCCACAGCAGTCACACAGTGGCACAGCCGTCGGTCCATGGGGGCTGGAGTGTGTGATGGCGCTCGCTCTGTCTCACTGGCCTGTGATGACGGTGTGGTGCGACCACTGCAGCTGTTTGCTCACTGCTCACTCTCGCGCCTGCTGACATTTATAAAGTCTGGACTCTGATGTCACGGGCTGACGACCGTGTAAACAGTCACTGGACCGGCATCTGAAATGTTTCACATTCCTCCTCCCTGTTGCCCATTTCCACTCTCACACACACACACACACACACACAGCCTCCACTCTTTCCCCTCTTTTTCCTCTCCTCCCTCTCTTTCCAGTCTTGTGGCGCTCAGAGTTTACACAGCTTAACGCGAGCTGAGGGGAGAAAAATACATTAGCCCAGTTGTCTACGAAGTCAAACAACCTCCGGGGGGCTTCTGTGCTGAAGGTTCTGATTTGAGCCGATGAGATTTGATCCAGCTCTGATCTTTCGGTTAAAGACCAAGTTAATGTTTAATCCCAGAACCTCGATCACTCCTGAAACCCTGAGACTTTAGACTGAATCCCTCTCTGGTTTCCATGATGTCAGGGCTACATGTCTGAGCTGCACATGAACTTGACTCTTTGTGATTTCTTCTGCTGGAAGAGAAGAACTCTTCAGATGCCTTCAGAGCGCACAGCTATCATTACCCCAAACACTGTGTGTGTGTGTGTGTGTTGTGTCTGTGACTCCCACCGGAGTCTCGAACAGGCCGACACAAACACGGACAGCTGAGACTGACGGGAACGCTTGAGTCTCACAGAGGGACAAATTCAAATCTTTACCTGATGGTGGCGCTACACGACTCAGGGAATCACCGACAGATTACAATAAATCATAAAGGGGACATTGTCTTTACTAAATGTCTCACATTTTATAGTTGAGATATCTAACTAGTCAATCCACAAATGTCTGTCTCAGTCAAATTTGGTGGGATTTGGACACGATGCCTTTAATTAGGGCTGTAAACTCTTCCCTGCAGATAAACCAGGGAGGATGAACACAAAGTTTTCTAACTTCAGTCTGCACCACAGACTGTTTATAAGAATCTCTGCACAGAGTTAAATTAAAAATGACAGTGTATTGTAAAAGTAACGACAAGGAGTAATTCTGAAGAAGCAGTTTTCACAAGATTCTGGTTTGTTGACCTCATGGTGGCGCTAGAGCAATCATTTTTTTCGGGTGTTGAGCTGTAAAGTGTTTTAAACTGTTGGTTTGTTGGATAGAAAACGTTTTTTTTACGTTTGAATCCGAGGACTGGAGCCACTGAAACACAAAGAAATCCCATTCACGGTCAAAGGAATTCAATCAAGAGAAACACGAGACGCTCGGTGCTGGGTGGGCACCGAAGACGAGTTATAAATAGAAGGAGACAGACAGGAAGACAGAAGAGGAGGAAGGAATGTGTGTCGCAGGCAGGTGGGCTCCAGGTGGACAGCCAGTACATACTATACATTACAAATACAGCTCACTGCGGAACAGACACAGTTAGTCTCCCGTCATTAAGCTCCGTCTGTGAGAATACTACAGCGTGAGAGGGATGTAGTCAAGTCAACAACTGCAGCCAGAATCAGTCAGAGTGAGGTCACATCTGCCAACTCAAACCAAAAGAAGCAGAGAAGGCTCAACACAGGGTTTTTTTCCAGACGTCGGAAAGTTCCCAGACAGTAAAGAGTCACTCTCACTTTTGAAGAAACTTCCAACTCCTGTACAATGACCCTCATTCAGTCGGGGCCCACATATTGTTTTGGTATGTGATGGTATGCAGGGAAAGCCCTGTTGATTCACAAATGCCAGAAAATTGCAGGTCAAAGTAACGAAAATATTATTTGTCCCGTGAAGAACGAACATATCTAAGTGGTGAAAGAGGAGAAAATCGCTCGTCCAAAATCTGTCGCTGTGGAGTAAAAAATGTCTAACACATGTTCCGAGAAGTTGTCCGACGGCCCAGAAATACCTGGACGACTCAGCCGAGCGAAGATTGTTGTAGCGATACTCAGAGGTGACACTCTGCTAAAGTTATGCAGGGATTAAATCACATTCAGTGGAAGTGGAAACCTGCAGTTCTGTTCTGAAGACGTTTGTTGAAGGTAGTTTCACAGAGAAATCCGACATAAGAGATAATAATTAATGCTCACATTCCCACGGTCAATTAAGAAACTCCAATTAACCCCAATTAATCTGCATGTCTCTGGATTCAGCTGTGGCGGAGGCTGATTCTGAGGTGAAAAGGTACAGAGGTGAAAGACGATCCAGCAGTTCCCTCCAACGTTAGCACGCAGACATTAACATTTAGCTTAGGCAGATAGAATTTAACCAGTGTAAACTATATACAGTCACCCCCCTGGTGGCTGGACGCAGTATAAGTTATTTAATAATTATTTTTCCAAAAGATTTGAATCGAACAGAATTAGAAAAAAAGACATTTGATAACAAAAATCCCAACATTTGGGCTCAATCCTTAAATGAATAATTAACATAATATATTAAAATGACTAAAATAAAGACAAGTGTGTTAAAGTAGTGTGGAATAAAAACTACATTAAGAAACTACAATAAAAGAAAAATAGTAATAGTTGAGATAAAATATATACTAAAGTAAAAGCAGTTAATAATGATTAAAGAGTAGTTGGTAGTCAGCTTGTTAATGAACAGTGAGTCTCATCTTTTATTCATTAAAATGGCCAAACAAGTAAAGTTATAGAAATGAGTTCTGATCCCCTGAAAACAAAGCAGATTAAAAACAGTTTCCACTTTGGTTCTGGAGAAAAGTGACGGTTCGACAACCACAACATCTTCCGTCACCTGCCACATCTCAGCCTCTGCTTTTTACTTTGTGACTGTGACCTCAGAAAGCCCAGAACAGTAATGTCTGCCAGTTTGTGGGTTTGGCTGATGCCAACTAGCCTCTGACAGGTTTGAGTGGCACTCGGAATAAAAAGGAAGTGGCCTCTAGCAAACACACATATTATATCTAATCTCCTCACAAGGATAAATCTAACACAACAGGCGGAGCAGCTCCAAGTGCACTTGGTAATCTGTGTCTGAGGTTTTGGCATCCTGACTTGCAGAAAGCTTTCCGGAACATGTTTTTGCTGCTGGCGCACGGCTTAGCCAGACGCGCAGGTATCCTCTCAGTGAGGACGTTATATTAGCCACGACTGTCGGAACAGTCAGACGTAGACAAAAAAAAACATGCAAGAGGTTTGCAGCCTTCAGTCAGGAAGCACGTGTTGAGTTGTAGTCTGCTCCTGATGTTGATGCACCGAGTGGGACTGACTCATTGTTCCAGGAAGGGTTCTGCAGAGGTAATGTAATGACGGGCACCACTGGATCACCACCACACCCTGCAGAGGTCGCAGACAGAGCCGTCTGTATCCATCACAATAAATGTTTGAAATCCACTTGGTCTGTTCCGTCTGCTTCTCTTCCGTCTCTCTTCATGACTCCTTCAACAAACCTCAGCTCAAATACTTTCCTGGTACACCGACATTGGATTTTAAATTATTCATGAAAGCCAGCACTCTAGATAAAGTCATCTGGACTTTGAAATCAAACAGCCGAGCTGAACGGCTGGAACAGAGCGTGAAGCTTCATTTACTTGAAGTTTTAAACGTATAAAACGTTTCACAGGGAGGAAAAAGACAAGACGAAGACGGGAATGTTCGGATGGAAAAGTTTCCTCACATTTACATAATGAACAGCAGCAGAAGAACTTTCACCACGGAGATGTCCAGGTGTTTCCTCGGAAAACAGGAGGAAATCCTATAGGTGTGGAGGAAATATTCAGCTCAAACTGTTCTGAGGGGGCTAAATATATCGAGACATGATTTAATTCCACCTCACCACTCAGCCAGAGACTAAATATGGTAATTACCAAAATTCCACACGGCAGGAGACTAAAAATGTCCCAGAACTAAATTGAAAACCACAAAAGGGAAACATACCAGAGAGGAGGAATTTGTTCAAGAACTGATTGTGTAAGTCCTTTGTGCATGTGTGTATTACTGCTGTTCATATGATGGATGTGTCAAGATGTGGTCCAGATGTGTGCAGCTGTAGCAGGACACACACACACACACGACCCTTCCAACGCAGATGACTTTGGCCGCAGCCAAAATGTTTTCCCTAAGATGACACTCAGATTCCAGGCATTCCAGCTCAGTATGTGAAAATCCGACGGTGTTACCACCGGAGCAGACGACAAGAGCATCGTCCCGACCAAAGGTCACCTCCTGACGCACACAAGGTCACCGCTGTGTCGGGAGCGACAAAAGAAAAGCCGGGATCACCCAGACAGTCACTCTTCGATGTGTCAGAGCACACGCTCCATCACAACCAGACCAAAGTTGCTCCGGTGACAAAAGATTTCAAACGCAGCTCCAGTCACAAACTGAAATATCTCTGATATTTAATATCCAGACTTTGAACAGTCCCTTATTCATTCCACAGAGGAGGTTATGTGTTCATGTGTTTGTTTGCATGATAGTTTGCAGGATTATGGAAGAGCTACTGCGGATCACCACAAAACTTAGTGGAAGGATGTGGTATGTGTCAGGGAAGAACCCATTAAAAGTTGGTATGTATCCAGATCAGGGGGCAGATCCAGGATTTGTTTTTCCTCTTATCTTTGAGATTATGAAATAAGGACATGTTTTCACAATTTACTTTAATTTATGAGAGTAAAAATCAGGAATGTGAAGGGAACTGATATTTATGAGTGTGTACAATTATGTGCCGACCCTAAGAAAAACCTGGATCTAGTGAATTTGAATGTTTCATAAGGGGACGGAGGTAGGTGTTCTAGATTTGAAATGTGGTGCCGACAACAGGTGAATGTTTTCACATATCCAGTGAACATCTAAAAACAAATGTGCTGCCATGAAGTCGAGATATTCACCAAAAGCCTGCAGAACTAATGACCCTCCCATCCCACTGACACACTGGATGTAACGAGCTTTACATAAACTCGACTTGAAGTCTCATCACCCGGTCACCGCGTCGCCCCGGTTCAGGGTTCAGGAGGTTGTTTGCAGAGCTGATTGCTGCAGCACGGTGCAGAAATAACCTCCTGCATTCGCTGACACGCCAAAACCAACAACACATCCATTTCTAGCTCCGCTTACTAAAAATGAACCAGAACAAATAAATAAGCGACAAGGGCTCGGTTCATGGACGAAGCCACTTCCTAGCATGGCACACAGCGTCTGTATTTTTAGTGGAGGTTGACGCCAAGTTCAGGTGAAGGAAAGATGGTCTGCAGAGAGATGGAGATGTCTGCAACACAGGGAGACCACTGAGGATGGTTATCAGGCTCAAGTCCCTGCTGCTGAATGCATTCACACATTAACGGTCTCCTGCGAAGCTCTGGACATGTGATGTTTTCTGTTTGTCTTTTTGTCTGGATGTGGAACGTGCTCGACCCTTCATCTATTTTCGGCTTCACACTTTGTGCTGGTGCAAAGTGTAATTCGGTGCAAGTTGAACATGTGATACGTTCAGTATTAATGAAATTAGAATTAAAGGTGACGTCTTTGGATAAACCGCAGCAGCGCGGGGCGACAACTGGGTCAAACTGAAAGTCCAAATCGCAACCAGATCATTAAAGATTATTTATTTATCTTTATTTCACCACTTTTAACTGACACAGTCATTCACGGATGCTGATCTCCATCACGGCATCAACATTCGTAGAATCACTTTCCAACAATTTCTCTTCAAAGTAAAAGCATAATGCTCCTTTTTCTGCAACGCTTTATATCGTGCTGAATTACAGAGCTTTTATTTTGAAAAGCTGTGAGCTTGGGTCTTAAATAGATGACAGATAAACCGGGTAGGATGAACACAAAGTTTCCGAACTTCAATCTGCACACAAACAATAAACAGTGACAGGAGATGGCAGAAGAGTTTGAGGACGACTCACTAACGACGAGGAATAAATCTGAAGTGTCAACACCCGAGAGAAAAGAACACAACTTTACAAACAGACACGTTTAAAAAGATTCAGCTCACGTTTGCATCATTGATTCTTTTTTTTTTTTTATCCACAGACTAAATTATTCCAGTCAACGTCCAGACACGACATCAGTAACATTTCGGATAGTCAGCTCGGGGAGATGGACAGACAGTCTGGGACTCGTCTCGGTAACTCAATGACATGTGAAATGGTTCAGTGACGGAATGAAGCAGCAGCTGCCAGCGTGTGTGGGAGACGTCAGGATGTAATCTGGAAACAGTCTGTGAGCGAGCAACGTGACTTTTCACAATTATTGTAGAACTGTTTGTTTTCAGCTTCTGGTAAAGGTCAAGATTTCAGAGTTATGTGTGAGATAAATGTTTCTTCACGTTTTTACAGTTGACTGTGACACTTTCTTCCCCCCTTAATTCATGTAACACATGTACTAATAATAATCATCACATTTCTTCAATTCAAGTTTAGCTGCATCCCACAATGAAGATCCTGAAATTTGTTTCTCTGTGAGTTTTCAATCGAATGCATCAACGGAGGGAAAAGAAAAGTAAGAAGCGAGGGAAACGTCCCCTTATGTAACTTGGTGTGGAAGTTTGTAAACAGCAACACGTCACAGCCCCTGAACCACACACTGCACACACAGGTTACTTTTAAGAAACAGAGACCTCTAGTGGTCAAAATAAAGAAGCTTCCATCTCATCACAGCTGCCTGATCTTATCTCTGTTGATGCTCGTCCTTATCGTTAAAACCAGACTTCAGGGGAAGGATGTGGTTTGGGCACAGAGAACACAGGACCTTACATTTAGTCTCTGAAAGCGTGATTATTTATTTCACCATCGTCACGGATTTCTCTGAGAATAATTCATGAATCTTGATTTTAAAAAACAATAAGACATATTTATTTTAGGGTTCGTGAAATGTGGTGCAAATCCAGATAGAAATCTAGATTTGAATGAGGTCTGTACTGAGAGACATTCTGGTTACAGTACGTTTTGTTTTTTTATGACCACGACACAAGCAGAGTGAGACGACATGAACAACCCGTCGTCTCGGGAATTTGATAACTTCAAGGCAAATAAAAGAAATATACAGTGAGCGTTCTTACTTTCAAACAAACAAACAGCAACGTAACGACTAGTAGGGCACACGCCTCGTCCAGGGCCCCTTAAATTAGGACGAGCCACAAAGTCAAGGCCATGTTACATTTCACAAGTACACATAAGTTACAGGTTCTGTTTGTTACCATAACGTGGCTGAAACAAGCCTTCACCCTGTTTCTAAATCTACTAAAGATCCAGATTCTCATTTGGAGCAGCACAAAATTACACAAACTCATCAACCAACTTAATATGTCATCAAGATTTAAACACAATCCTCTGATCAATCGGTTGGAAAAAGAAATGTACACAAACAAAACTTTAAGAGCTCTTCCCAGACCCAGAAGTTTGATCCTGCTAACGAGCAAACAAACAACTGCAGGTTAATTATCAATACCTTACTGAGATAATACATCCAGAGCACAGTGGTCAGCAGGAAACATAACTTCAGGTGACGTCACATGACGCTGCAGCAAACACAGGAAGAGAACAGGCCTCATCCAGACCTCTTGTTAGTTCAGGTGCAGCCTGATAGGTTGAGAGGTGAAGTCCCGCCTTCCCGGGACTGGGCAGGAAGTCAGGTGTTCAACTCAAAGGAAATAAAAATTCCAGAAAATATAAGTGAAAAGTTTTCTAGTGTTGAAATGTTTCTTGATGTTGTTTGATGTTGGAGACTAATCCACTCGTGTAATGGAAAATTTTAATTTGCATATGACCTTAGCTTGAACTCTTTCCTATTTCTGATCAATGCTCGTGAGCTGCGTTCAACAATAACTCATATAGAAACAGTTGTGCTCGTACAAGAGGAACCGTCTGGTGTACGTGCAGACGGACGATTCAAAACTAGACCGATACCTTTTTTTTTCTTTTTTACATTTAACTAACAAATAAAAAAATAATGAGTGTTGCCCAGTGCTTGGAAGATGATGATCCTCTTGTCGACCACGATCTGTGCAGCTAGCAAGCTTCTTCTTTCATGCAGAAGCAGGAGCAGACAGCTTCCTGTTTCAACCAGACGACAGGTGGCTTCAGTTGTCATGAGATAGTTATCTCTTGTGTTTCCTATTTACTGTATAAAACCTTCTCCTTTCACTATTCGAGGTGTTCCGCTCCTCTGCAGAGCTTTCTAGTAAAGACCCAAAGATAATCGAGAAACTCTTTATTTCAGATCTCAGAGATAAATTTCTAAAATCCACTTACACTTACAGCCGGTTGGCTTATGGGTAAAATAAAAACATTTGTTTTCAGACGTGAGTTTACACAACAGGCGATGGGGGGGTGAAATCCGACATTTGTGAGCAAATTAAAAGTCCATCATTACTTTCTAGAATCTTGTAATGTGCGTTTATTCCTCTCAAATGATGTGTTTTTATCATTTTCTCGTCACCTTTTCTTTTAATGATTTTATTATTTTAAAGTCCCTCAGCTGCTCTTAGGTGATCACGTTTGTATGTAACATAGTTTTCCAGCACCTCAATGTTGATGTCTGGCCTGTTTTCTGTATGAATCCAGCTTATTATTATTATCTGTATTCAAACTCATCCTCTGCCACACGTTTAGTTTCACATCTTTGGAAAATGATGCCAAAGTCTGGTTTGGTTATCTCACAATAAAAAATGCAAACACAAGTGAAACTGTCTGATAAGAGAACAGATTTAGGTGAACGGTCAACTCTTACACAAACTCCTCATCTACTCATTCATCACTGATGAGCTGGTGATGGAGTGATGAGCTGGTGATGGAGTGATGAGCTGGTGATGGAGTGATGAAATGGTGATGGAGTGATGAGCTGGTGATGGAGTGATGAGCTGGTGATGGAGGCGTGTTGCTGCATGTATTTTATATTAATGCAGATGAGACACTGCTGCCGGCAGCTACAACCACAAGGTGGTGCTGACAGACACATGATTTACCAATGATTCCTGACATATGTAGGGTCAGTGTGAATGAGGTTTACATGTCACATGACAAAGACACACATACATACATGTAAACATTCATACAAACACACATACATACATGTAAACATTCATACAAACACACATACATACATGTAAACATTCATACAAACACACATACATACATGTAAACATTCATACAAACACACATACATACATGTAAACATTCATACAAACACACATACATACATGTAAACATTCATACAAACACACATACATACACACATACAAACATGTAAACATTCAATCATCCATACATACATACATACATGTAAACATTCATACACACATACATGTAAACATTCATACACACACATTTACATGTATACGACTGAAGGACTGAAGTCAGGAGGCAGGGGGTGTCCACAGCTTCGTGGGTATGACTGAGTGACCTTGCACATATCTCTGAGAGAGAAACATCTTGCTGTCTCTCTGGTGTCCATTTCACCCCCCACCCCCCACCCCATGTCCCTCACGGTGGAGCTGTTATTTGTCATGAGTCCACCTCACACAGACACCACAGTTTGTTTCCTAACGTGGTTTGACAGAAGTAATTAGCCCAAAGGTAAAGCTCCCATCACATGGTGCAAAGCTGCTGCCACACAGGCCCGTTAATCCTCCAACCCACCGTCCACAGACGTTTTAACGCACACGGTGAACCGCTCGACCCGCAGCCCCGTGTGCATCCTCTGTCCTGGTTGAACAGTAACAGCTCTGCGGCGTGTGTGTGTTAGTTCGTGTGTGTGTTAGTGTGTGTGTGTGTGTGTGTATATTATTTTGTAGTTGCGCGGACAAAGGCGTGTCCATGTCTGAGTCATGCATATAACCAGAGGAGTGGCGATAAGCGCAGTCCCTCCGGTCCTCAGCGCACTGTGCACCGGCTCTCTCACCGGCAGCAGACGCAACCTCTCCACGATGGCTGAGCACGCTCCTGAACAAGTGGTATTCAACAAGCCCAAGGTACGTGACACCCACTGGAGGAGTGTGAGAACTCGTGAATGGAAATAGAAAGAAGGGGACTTGGTGACAGGGCCACGTTACCCTGAGGGTTTTACGCACGTTGTGGCTGCGTAAAAGTGTCCCGTGACAAGAAGAAGCAGGGACCTGGAGGTTGAATGTGAAGCATTTGTCTCATTAGAGTGAAGATGTGCTGCTTCCTTCCTTTGTGTTGTTTGATGCCCGCACTAAAATGAGGAAGAGCAGGTCCAGTGCTTTGACAACAAGCAGCTCCACTGAGAGGTGTGACATCTACTGAAGAAGCCAGTTCCTCCTCGACTGTCTTGTCTCGAAGTTGAAAAGAGAAACCAGGCAGAGTGAGATCATTGTGGATCAGTGGGAACCACTTTAAAACGTGATGTCACACGATCTGCCCCTGCAACAGAAACACAGATGGTTGTTTCTTTTTTGTTTTGCATAAACCGAACACAGCCTGACCAGAGGCTTGTTTGACGCTGAGGCGTGAAAAGGTATAAAGCTGCCCACCACTGCACTTTGGAGTCCTGGGTGATAAGTGGAAACCTGCACCTGCACATTCTGAGCTGATAAGAGAAGAGGAAGTGACCGGCTCTGTGGCAGGGGCCTGGTGCAAACACACACTCAGACATGTGGGCCCTCTGTTGTCATGACTTGTAAAAGGACAGATCTCAGGCTGCTTGCAGGGATAATCTCATTAAATACTAATTTGCTGTGAAACCACGAGTGGGCTCATTGTCTGCTGCAGCACCCACTCATATGCTTATGATCATGTTCGTGCAGCAGCAGTGTTAATACAGTCAGTCTCCAAACAATAAGATGTGAGGGAGTATTTCCATTATCCACGAATCTTTTTTATCAATTGACAAATGAATCGTTTGCTCTTTAAAATGTCAGGAAATAGGAAAACCGTGACGTTCTTCTATTGATTGATTCGGTAATGAGAAATATTCAGTTTGCAATGATGTGAAAGAGAGAGAAGCAGCACACCCTCAATAGTTGCTGAATTAAATTAGAATAATTGATTATTGATGTGGACATTAAGAACGATTTAAAGCATGAATATATAACTGATCTAAATCCAAACAGAGTGGGGCTACAGTGCTTGATTGTGTCGTGTTATTGATTCATTTAAATATTAAAGATTATCCATCAGTTTTCCATAAAAACCCGATGTGACATATTTAAATGTCGTATTTTATTCAACCAACAGTTCAAACCCCAACTCAGTAGAGCACATTCATCGGCCATGCCCTGTCAGTCCTTTTTAAATTCAATCAAGAATAGTTATCGGTCTATTACAGGATTCTGAAGTATGTTGCTTATTTCAAACGAAATGTCTGAAAGAGTGAAAATGATCCATCGCAGTGAAGTCGAAGTGATATTTTCAAATGTCTGGTTTCATCGTTCAGATCATAAAACACAGAGAAAAGCAGTGAATCTTTATAATCAATCCACATTCAACAAATCAGACGATGGTTTGGTTGATTTTTCATGAAAAGATAAATTGATTATAAAAAAATACTGCAGCTGCTGAGAGGGATCAACTTTGATTTCAGCTTTAAGTCTGATTCAAGTCTGTAGAAACATGTAAATAGAGAAACAGAAGCTAAAACGATGCGTTCACTGTCTGATGTGGAGCTCAGAACTTTGCTTTCCACACACAGGAGATAAAAGTCCTGTATTTTGTCGCCTCGTGCATCTATGTACCAGTATCGGTGGTGGATCATCTTCTCACCTGCAGAGCAAGAGCTCACATCTTTAATGAATCAATTAACGAGAGTCTGCTGCAGAATAACACACTGCTGGATTTCTGAAGTGAGCACGACTGAACTCTCATGTGCTGCGTGACAGGAAACGCTGCGTGCAGTGAAAGAGCTGCAGCAGGAAATCCTGAGGTTGCAGATGAGTTTAGCAGCTGTGATCTATCTGGAACAGCTCCGATGCTCTTCTTAAGACAAACACGTGTAAACAAGTGAGATCCAAACCTCTTCTCTGGCAGCGTTCTAATGCAAAACGCGGGAGCTTCATTTGTGGACAGTGGGAAAAAGTTTCATTCTGAAATCGCTGTTGTGGAAGTTTTGTTGCTCTCAGATGAACAATGGCCGCCAGAATTCAGGGAACATTTTCTTCTTCCTGCACCAGAATTAAATGTCTCGAGTGGTGAAACTCTGATTTGAATCTCGTCCTGACTAATGAGCGTAGTTCAGGTCTTAGCTGCAGAGACTCATGGCAGAGGCAGAACAATGAGTCTTCTCTGAACCTTCTCTCTGGCACCACTGGTCTATCCACCAGTCATGCGTGATGCATTCACGATGGGCTGCAGCCAAAACATTGAATTGCAACACACCCGCTCTCTCCTGCTGCCCTGCTCTTTACCAGGAGGCAGGTTATGTTCATGAATACAGACGCAAGACATGGAAACGTACTAAACACCTTTGAAATTTGGAGGTCAAAGGTCACAGTTTTAGCCGTGTGAACACTTTATCCTGAGGATGCCTCGAGAGAATTCTCACAGATTTGGCCCAAATGCACAAACTTAAACTGAATTAATTAACCTATATGACCTCGCAGAACATGTCGGTGCCTCTTGCAAAAGTTTGACAAGTAGTCACTTGGACTCAAAGAGTGAGTCATGAGTCTGAAATGTAGATTGAAACTGTGCAGGCCTCTGGTTCGCTGAGGCATACGGCCGTTTTTTGTGAATCATTAAATTCTTGGTGGTATTCCCGGCTGAATTTTGTAGCTGTGTCTCAATTTCGGGGGCGGAGTCCTTCAGAGGACACGGCCCCTGAAACTGTTCTCAAGAATTTCCATGATTGGCGTCACCAGCTCGCCTCGACCTGCCCCTTATTGCTGTCGCCTAGCAACAAAGCTGCACGAAGCTGGGAAAGTTTGAATGCCCATGGTTCATTGCTCTTGGTTCTTATTGTTCTTGTTATTCGAGGTGAGATGGAACAGACAACACAGGTGTCACCGTGTGTGTTCAGGTCCGTTCTACAGGTTGAACCTTCATTGATGTGATCAGTAACACGTGTATTGATTCATGTCTGTGGAACAGGTCTGTTGTTCCAGCTTTGTCTGTCTTCACTGACAGTTGTCTGTTCCTCTAAACTACGCCCATGAGTTCCTCGTCATCGTCCCTGTCGTCCACAGGTCGAGCTGCATGTGCACCTGGACGGAGCCATCAGGGTGCAGACTATTCTCGACGTTGCCAAGTAAGTCGGTTTATCAGAGCTCTTCAATATTGACATTAGATTGTGTGTTTGTTTTGTGTTTGTTCCAGATCCACATGTTTAGATAGACAAGAAGATAAGAAGACACCTTTGTGTTACCACATTATAAGTAATCTCGATTAACTGTACTTGTGGAACAACTGATTTAACAGCTGATGATGTCAATTAGAATGAGGCTCATCCTGAATCACTAAAGAAGCAGTTCAGTACAGGAACGCAAAATATATTTTCCAGATAAATAGAAACATATTCTTCAAAAAGCCAAGATAAGGGATTCTTACTTTTCTTAAGTCTCCGCTAAGGAGGTAATGTTTTCATCTGTTAGTTGGCAGGATTACACAATAACGATCCAACTCATTTACATTCAACTTTTGCTTTCTCTTTATCTCTATATTTTCTACATTTACTTATAATTCATAAAAATCTGTTTTGTTTAGCGGACTGATGTTTTTGGTTGTGTTCTCATTTGATTCGTGTTTCTGTGTCACAGGAACATGCAACATTTCATTTTGCATTTTAAGAATAAAGTCAAATTAAAGCTCGTTCTTGATTCTCGATGTGCAAAATAAAAACAAAATCTCTCTTCGGGTTCAGCTCGACTTTATTGTCAGCTGCTTCTTGAAATTGCTGGAAGACGCTAAAATGCTAAAGCTGAGGAGATCTGCGGATTATGAAGCTCTAAGTAAAGTAAAATTCTGTGTATTTTTCAGAATAGAATTTCCTAGTAGACCAAAATACATCCTGGCACAGTTTCAGCAGCTCCAGTTGTTTATTTTCTTCATCAACAACTCGTCTCTAGACTTCAACACGTCACACAAACAACAGAAACCCTCTGTTTTCAATTTCTCTTTTAACACAGCAGAACAAATCCTCTAATCTAGAATATGAAACAAATTATTTTTATTCTCTTTATTTTCCGTCTAGGAGACGCGGCATCCACCTGCCTGCAAATGGTGTCGAGGAGATGACGTCGAAAATTATTGTGGAAAAACCCGCCACCCTCACGAAGTTCCTGGGCAAGTTTGCGGAGTACATGCACGTGGTTGCGTAAGTACTGACCTGTCGTTTCTTAATGACTCAATGTTTCATAATTACCAAGGGTGCAAAAGAGCAAAATGTGAGTGATGGTCGTGTCACAGGAAAGTTTACGATGAGGGGTCAAAATCCAGTCGTGCGCTTTATTGCTCACATGCATTCCCCACAATTCAGCTTGTTGTAAAGTTTGTGATTGATGGCGTCGGGGATCTAAGACACAGTCGGAAACTGCAGTGTAATTCCATAGCTCGGCGGGGCGTCGGATTTGAAATGCCAGACGTGCGGTACATGAACACATCATTACTGCGATCGAGTGTCATCTTCTGAAAGGAAAGGTTCCGGTGTCGTTCTGTCTTATATTTAGTCGTCCAGTGAATAGCCCGGACCTTTTTTAGAAAAGACCTAACACGCTCTTTCAGATACTCAGTGGCCGTAAAATCTTTCAACAATGGCGGTCCGTCGTGGGCGGAGCGCAGCGTGCAATTGTGCTGAATGGACCCTTCTGTGTCGAGGCTCCTGAAAGCAGAACAGCTTCAACAACGTGGGGAACTTACCAGCGGAGTTTAGCTCATGCAGGATTGTTGCATGTTGTCCATGTGTGTTGGGGGTGGGGGTTGGGAGGTGGGGGGTTGGGGGGGTGGAGGCTGGAGAACAACAGGCATTCAGAACCTGTGCAGAGCATTCATCTTCAGTGTAAATGCTGGAAGCCGTGTTGTTCTCCGTCACGTGATGCGGACACAGAAACGTGCTCTAGAGAAAAGAGGATTTTTAACATTATCGCAAAAAACATCCTAATAAACTGCAGTAAAACAAAATATTTCACTTCACATAAACACGCAGGACTGAAAGGGAAGAGAAGAGAAGAGGAAAGGAAATCAAATAAAGGAAATGAAAATTATTTTTTTCCAAGAATCAACATGCCTGGGGTTAAATAAAGAAACAGAAAAAGAATGAAAAGAAAAGAGTAAACTTGTAACTTTGCTTTTCATTCGTGAAAGATTTGAATCAAATGCTTTCTGTTAGGAAATCTATTTTTTGGTGAACGTGAATTACAACGTAGTCGTATTTTTGTTTTGATTTGCAGGCGTCATAAAAACCAAAGATCTTTAAACAGCAATAAAAGTTGGAGATGATGGAACGAGCAAATGATTTACAAAGAAGAACAGTAATAAAACTGTTCCAAAACCATAATCACTCAATAATATTGTTATTATATCTTTAACTTGCTGGTTTTGTTCAGATTTATTATCGAAAGACAAAGAAAACCAGAAAATCTTTTCAATTCATGTTTTTAAGTTCATGTTTATATGAAAGTTTGTTTAAAGCCCCTGTGGCTGTTTTTATTTTCTGTTTGTTTGTTGTGCTGGTTTATGTGTCGTCAAGTGTTTCAGATAAATAACATGAAGCATCAGAAGTTTTAATATCCATGATCACTGTTAATATAATAATGTAGCAGAGGTCAAATGAAATTAGCTGTGTAATTGTTATGCTGCTCATTTCTAAAGCCCTATAACTGTTGGGATAACGTATTAACTGTGACTAATGGTTTGATTTATTATCACTCAGATAAGTTTATCAAAGCCAAAAGGTCACTCAGTTTGTGTTTGTCCTGTGTTCTTTTCCAGCGGGGACAGAGAGGCCATAAAGACGATAGCCTACCAGTTTGTTGAGGACAAAGCGAAAGAGGGAGTGATTTATGTCGAGGTCAGATACAGCCCACATTTTCTGGCCAACACTAAAGTGGATCCTTTGCCATGGAACCAGAAAGAGTGAGTCTCTCTTGGAGTGAAAACCTTCCAGAGGGAGACAGGAAGTTTGTTTCCCTGCGTGTTACATTATTCTTCTGTTCACTCAGAGGCGACCTGAGTCCAGACGAGGTGGTGCAGCTGGTTAACGAAGGCCTCGCCGAGGGGGAGAGGAAGTTCAATATCAAAGCCAGGTCCATTCTATGCTGCATGCGCCACATGCCAAGTAATGAACAGTTCACGCTCCTGTCTGCAAAATCTACCTTGTGAGATTAGGGTTCCTCAAAGATCTGCCTCGTTCATTCTTACAGAAAAACACGCTCGTATAATATATATATACATTCATATTGTCAGTGTCCAGGGGGACCATGCATCTCCAAACTATTTAACTAGATTAAAGGTCTTTGAAATAAGATAAGATAAGATAATCCTTTATGAGTCCCACAATAGGGAAAATTGCAATATTACGTGTACTAATGTTAGTATTTGAACAAAATGTCAATATTGGCACAGCAACATGCTCATTCACGCACAGTTCTTACAAGCAGACGTTTATGTTTATATCTGGAGTTAGATTCAGAGTTAAGACAAATCTGGAGTCTATCAAATTTACATTTTAAAATATATATTAAAGTGTTAAATCCTAATATTTCACTTAAACCTAAATGTTAAATGTAAATGCGAATATTCTTTATATTTAAGTAACGCTTTATCTAAATGGTGACTTGTTATTGTCGTCGTGTTATTCGGCCTCGTGTCAAATCAAGTGAATAGTTCAACATGTGGGGAAATGAGCCTATTTGTTTTGTTGCCAAGGCTTAACACTGATACCAACTGGTGTGTGTGTGTGTGTGTGTTTGGTAAATATGAGGCTGCCACCAGTGAGCAGAGTTCAACACAGAGAAGTTCAACTTCAGGAAACAACTGTCCTGCTTCCACTCCAAAGACAATAACATCTCAAACGAGCTGAATTAAAACACTTCATCTCATCATCTGCACGACTGTGTGTGTTTTCGATCCGACCGACACAAACTGCGAAGTCACACGTGTGTCTTAAATCCTGCAGGCTGGTCCAT